TTTGGTGCACTGAAAGCGAATAACAGTGAGTGACATAAAGGAATGAAGGAAGGAAATTATCTCCATCATTTCCATTAATGTGATATATAAAAGTACTCCAAGAAAGCTTTTAAAAAGAAACCAATTATATTCACTATTACTGATAATAAAAAGACAGTTTATGAGGAAGCAAAGCCACATCTTAGAGCCCAAAGAATTGTTCCCTGCAATAGACAAATCAAGGACTGGTCTCACTCTCACAAGATGACACCCACTTGCCTTACTAACACTTAAGACATTGTTCCATGATGTCCCAGGACATAATGGTATCTCCTCTACTTCATCAGGGCTCAAACACTAGAATTGATTGAATCATACCTATCTATGAGATACAGAGCTACAAGCATTATGCTCCAACAGGCTAAAAAGGAAGCTTAAGGGCCTAAAAAAGGACTTCGGGAAGATCACCACTGAGCCAAACACTAACCATATTTGAAAGTATAAGCTATTCATTCAAGCTGCAGAGTTAGATGAGAAGTTTCTGGAAGTACGTTAGAGAATAACAATAAACAGAAGGCTAGGCCAGTCAGCATCGTGGTTTACAGGTAGCAGGAGGCTATCGGACTTTTCTCAAATCTCTATGACAAAGCCAAGAAAGCCTTTGAATGCAAGAAAAGGTAAAAACCAAGGCAATGTTCAGGCACTTGGGTGTCTCAGTCAGTTAAGCATCTGACTTCGGCTCAGGTCATGGTCTCACAGTTTCTGAGTTCGAGGCCTGTGTCAGCCTCTGTGCTGACAGCCTGGAGCCTACTTTGGATTCTGTGTGTGTGCGTCTGTCTCTCAAAATAAACATTAAAAAAAATTAAAAAATTTAAAAAACACAAGGCAATGTTCTCATGTGTCAACACAGCTAACTCTAAGATATCTACCCCAGTGGTCTCTGAACAAGTGACTTTGGGGAAGGAAAAAATATAAATGCAAATTAAAAAAAAGAAAAGATTTAAAGAATTTCCCCTCCTTTGACTTTCTAGTTCCTGAGAGCTAGCCCATTCAGTTTCCATAGCAGTGAGATTGGGGAGCATCACCTCCCCGTTGCCACATTCTACTCGGGCAGGATGAAGAGTCAAAGTTCCATAAAGCCTTTTGTACTATTCTAACAAAGGCTTATACAGTGAGTAAGATTTTGCTTCCTTGGATGTGCTAGAGCCAGTTCTTGTCAGCCACCATTGGTGGCTTGAAATTGGCCCTGGTAGAAACATTTACACCATGGAAACTGGAAAACACTACAAATCAGGGCTTTCTTTTATTTGAGATCTGGTTTACCACCATACCACTGGGTATAACATGGGGGGGGGGGGTAATCTTTCAGATTTAAGAGCTCTTTGAATTAATTTTATCTGCTGCAAAAGCTTTATTGTTTCCATTTGGTCTATGGCTTGGGAGAGGGCTCCAGGGTGGTTGAAGGGCTGCCTGGTGGCCTCAGGAAGAGGCTCAGGCAGAAGCTCTGACACCAGGGAAGCGCCAGGGGGCCCCTCGGAGAAAGGCGGTGCCTGAGGGGGGAGTCAGGTGAGGAGGTGCCCCCTGCCCCGCCGGCGGGCCGGCCCACGGGGTCAGGCAGGTGGTGTCCATCTTCGCGATGGGCGGCACCTGCGCAGCTGGCCGAGGTCCCGACGGTGGCCCGCAGACGCGGGTGGGTGGGTGCGGGCAGAGGCCACGTCCCCGGACGCACAGGACGGGATTCGGGATCCTCCCGGCCGGGGCCGCTGCCTTGGCGTCCCGAGGTCGATCCCGCTCACGTGCGTGGCTCCTGCACGTCCTGGAAGAAGCGCTGCGGCCCTGCCTGGCTGGCCTGTTCCAGCGACGCGGGGACCCTGGAGCTTCTCAGCTCGCAACGTGGCCTGCGTCCACAGAGCCACGTCCTCCCCGTGGAAACAGCGGCCCAGACAGAGGTGAGTGCGGGAGACGCGCAGAGGCAGGTGGGCCAGGCGGTGGACGCGGCTGCCACCCGGGTGGCATAATTCTGACGCACGTGGGAGCTCGTGCTGGTGCACAGGAAAGGGGCCAAGTGCGGAAATCGGTGTTGGCTCTTCGGGGAGGCACAGGATGGCTGAGAAGGTGGTTCCGAACGTTGCGACTGCAAAAGAGGTTGCGGGGTGGTGGGAGACTTGAGGAAGCGGCCTCCTGGGGTCTGTCTGTTCCTTCCAAGCAGGGTTGAAGCAAGAGACAGATACCCGAAACTGTGCAGCAGATTGCAATATTAAGACATATCCTTTTGCAAGCACTGATGCTGGGGCACAGGAATCATGCCTAGGTTTTACTGTATTAAATTGTGATGTTTCATGGGATAGAATATAATCCAAGGGTTAAGGAAACCCATATAATACGTGTATGCATGACTCAGCACTGTACTCAGAATGGGATTTCCCCTTAGAGCACATCATGAGCCACATCACACCTTAATGAGTATTCATGGATGAACACTGTTTCTTCGTGTTACCTTGTGAGCCTATTAACAGCTCACAGCTCAGTTTAATCAGTTTTTCTGTTCAAGGTAGGTATCCTGGTGGTAATGTAGGCAGTACACTCTAATTTCACGCCTGATCTTGCAGTTACCCCAACACCCTCTAATCCTCAAGAAATGTATGTTTTCCCCCTTAACTGCCCTCCTAGTCAAAAGATAGATACTAATCATGGTAGGTAGGAAATGGATGTGACAGTGCCTTTCCTTAGGTCAACTCTCCTGGAATCAAGGAGGTATTCTCCTGATATTTATAAGCCAGGCAAATCATACATCTTTTGTACAGAAATGGATGTGTATGGGTCTGAATTCCTTGGCTGGTTATATAACCAATCACTGTTTGTTGGTAAAGAAAAAGGTTAGTTTAAATCATGTGACCCAAGAGCTCTGACATCACTCGGGCAGGAAGACTTCTCAAGTATTCTAATGTCCAGATCTGGAAATTATTTCCATTTCTAGCACCTATTCTCTGTTCTTAGTGCATTCTGGCTCTGAAGCATTTGATTGTAATGCTTTCATGCTGTCGTTCATTGTGTCAGCAAACATGTTTTAACTGCCCTGTGGTAGATGCTGTAGGAAAAATAATGTTTAAAATATTAAGGGTACAACAGATTTATATGAGGTTAAGTTGTGAGGATTTTCCTGTATTTATTAGAAGAAAAAAAGTCATTTAAACTGTATGCTCTCTGTTTTGGTCATTTGAAACCAATAGATTATCCCTTAATATGTGAAACTTAAAAATAAACTAGCCAGTTAACCAGCAAAATGAGTTTATTTGGGGAATAGAAGAATTACAATTCCTGACATGCAAACCACAGCAACCATAGGCAAGTCCAGAGAACTAAGGAGAGGAGAGGCCTTTTGTAGGGGAAAGAAGGGTGTTGGCAAGGGCTGCTGGGAACTGAAGTCTTTTGGAAGAAAACAAGAGTTTGGGGTTGTTGTGACAACTTCTCATTGGCTGAGTTGCTGCAGTTGTCATTGGCTGGATTGTTCCTGGGCAAGGAGAAAACTTGCTACCTGCTGCGGGTAGTAAAGTAAACCTCTTCCTACTGGGACATTTGAGCTGTGCTGCTTCTTGGTGGGCTCTGCAAACAAGGGCAAGTCGTAGAGTGTGACAGCTCCCCCTTCAGGGTTTCCTGACTACACTTGAAATCAGGTTTCCTTTAAGGATTTTCACAAGTAAAACCAAATGTTAACTCTTAAATTATTTCTCTACTTTTATTCTTTTTTATTGTATAGTATTTTATTGTTTTAAAAAACTTGATTTTCATAAACTATGTTTTCACACTAGAGATTCCCACAGTGGGAAAAATAATGCTTTATTACTTACAGTGTTATATTTGTGGACAGAGATTTTAGGACAGGTAAAATAAATACATAAGGATACATTTAGGGTAAGTACAATAAATATTTTAGGAGGATTAAGTCCCCAGTAGAATCTGTAATTTTTTTGAGACATCTCTAAGGGGGCCTCTTCCCTACACGGGATTTCTCTACACTTCAGAAGCTCTTCAGGCTCTTCTTCCCAGGAATTAGAAGTGAGTAATGTTTGGGCCCCCGGGTGGCTCAGTCAGTTAAGCATCTGACTTCAGCTCAGGTAATGATCTCACAGTTCATGAGTTTGAGTACCATATTGGGTGAACATGAGCCCCACCTCAGGTGAGTCCCCTTTCTCTCCTTGTCTCTCCCTCCCACTCTCTCTCTCTTTGCCTTTCCTCACTTGTACCCTCTGCCTCTCAAAAATAAAAAAAGAAAGAAATTAGTAATGTGAAATAACAGTATGTCCTATTTTTTAATTTTTATTTAAAAAAATTTTTTTAGGTTTCTTTATTTTTGAGAAACAGAGACAGAGCTCAAGCAAGGAGAGGGAAGGTCAGAGAGAGGGAGACACAGAATCTGAAGCAGGCTCCAGGCTCTGAGCTGTTATCACAGAACCCAATGTGGGGCTGGAACCCAGGAATTGTGAGAAAGTGACCTGAGCCTAAGTCAGATGCTTAACTGACTGAGCCACCCAGGTGCCCCAGTATATCCTGATTTTTTTAAAGTTTCCATAGAATATGTAACCATCAGTTACTGGTATTGAATGAACAGAGAGGCAAGTTTTCAAAAATTGAACACTAATTTTGGGGAAGTCTTTACTTAAGAAGTAACAGTCTTTGGGGTGCCTGGGTTGCTCAGTTGGTAAACATCTGACTCTTGATTTTGGTTCACGTCATGATCTCACAGTTTGTGAGATCAAGCCCTGCATTGGGCTCTGCAATGACAGCATGGAGCTTGCTTAGGATTGTCTCTCTCCTCCCTGTCCTCCCAACCCCTCAAAATAAATAAAAAAAAAAAAACTTTTAAAGAAAGTAACAATCTTTCCCTTTCTCCATCATTCCCAGGACAAATACAGAAATTTGATCAGGTATTGATAGAACAAAGCGGAATTCCCTTTAGGGTAAACTAAAAGGGAAAAGCTCGTATATAATGCTTAGTTATACAATGGAACTCAGTCTCCAGATTTCTTGGATACAATTCCTCTCACACTTTTTCCTCAAAGACTAAGTTCTAAAAATAACCAGGTGTTGAGAAGAGATTTGTCTCACCAGTGGGCTTAACTGTTATTTCCTCCTTATTGTGAGTTAAATGGCTTAACAGAGCAGAGGAAAAGAGGTGTACAGTCCATTCTCAAGGTATTAGGTCAAAGAGGTCAGAGCTTCCACATCATGGCAACAGATTTGCAGATGCCCATAGGATAAAAGCTGAAATAACAAAGCCCAGCAAAGGTTAAAGCCAAGAATGCCAAAACACCTGCCTTGGCAGCCTTCTGCCAAGCATCCCCTCGAACATAGTCAGTAACCACTTGTCCAAGGCCCCAGTAACTATGAAAAGTGAGGGCTGCAGCCAGGGAGTAGTCCGTCACAGAGCCATGGTCCAAATCAGCAGCTGGAACTAAGGCCAGGAGCAAAACACTGCCAACCCTCTCACCAGTCAAGCTGAGAGATGAAGCCTAGGAACCACAATGGTGGTTGGGTCACAGATGAATGTGCTGTGTTTTCCACCATCCTGAGGCAGGTCGGACCTGGAGAAATGCTAACACGTGAGCACGAGCATGTCTGACCACTGGCATCTGTAGAAACAGAGCTCTGCCTCTTTGGGCACTACACAAGACAGCCTCCGGAGACTCGTCCCTCTCTCTACTGAAGCTACTTTTATTCTTCCATGCTAAATTACAGAGTCCCCAGAGTCACAGTCTCAGAACTTAAAAAAAATCAAAAACAAAACTCTAGACATGAACAAACTTGAATTCAAATTGAAATGATAATCCAGAGTGTTGACATTGGACCTCTTAAAGATGCTGAAGATGAAAGCCAGGTCTTTTTGTAGCTGGTACAGGGTCAGAGTATGAGGAAATCTGGACTAGTTCTTATAAAGTGGTAACCTCACTGGTTCAGCAGAAGAAAAAACCAATTTACGTATTTGACAAAGTTGCCCCATTCTCTTTTTAATTTTTTTTTTTTCCAACGTTTATTTATTTTTGGGACAGAGAGAGAGCATGAACGGGGGAGGGGCAGAGAGAGAGGGAGACACAGAATCAGAAACAGGCTCCAGGCTCTGAGCCATCAGCCCAGAGCCCGACGCGGGGCTCGAACTCACAGACCGCGAGATCGTGACCTGGCTGAAGTCGGACGCTTAACCGACTGCGCCACCCAGGCGCCCCAAGTTGCCCCATTCTCAAAAGCGTTGGCATTGCTGAGTATTTCTTTCTCAAAATGATACTTCTTGCTAATTTGACCGTATTTCCTCATCAGTAGATCTATTCAGGAAAAGAGAGCCAACTTCTGTGACTCTGTAGGAAGTGTGAAGATGATGGGGGGGAGGGGCACTGAAACTAATGCTTTTACCAGTCCCAGCCCCTGCCATTCTCAGCCCAACCCAGGGGCCAAGATGAGAGTTTCTCAGGGTGGAGGGACAGGAGGATCAGAGGTACTTAATGCAGCAAAAAGTAGAGAGGTGTTTCTGGTATTCCTGAGGCACAGCTCTTTTAATGGATTATCTATTACCTTCTCTCTCTTCACACAAACCTTTTCAACACAGCTGCACACAAGAAGCAAAACAAACCAATTTCCCTGATTCCATTTTTCTTAACCTCTTAGCCCATCTGTGGGTATGCTTATGAACTCTGGAAGAGTGAGAAGGAGGGAAAGAGGCCTGCAGGATCTGTCAACTTTCAAAGCAGTCCCCTGATGATAGAGAATTGGCTTTGAGTAGCATAGACCTAAATATGTGCACGTGCAGACATTAAAGCATAAAGTTAAAAATCATCTGTCTCTTCTGTGTTTTCAGTGTAATACTGGTTCTTACAAGAAAAGAAGCTTAGAACAAAATGTCAGGAAGCCTCTATGTGTGTTTTATCTTGAACAATTGAAAGATATCTGTGCAAACCATTTTAAAATAAGGCTTAACAGGACATAATGCTTTGCTCTGAGTTTTTTAATTACCTTAAAATTTCACTGTCAAGAACATAGGGGTAAATGCCTTCTTTCACTTAAACTGAATCTGGAAAGGGTGTCTTATTAACAGTTTTTAAAAAAATTTTTTAATGTTTATTTATTTTTGAGAGAGAGAGAGAGAGAGAGAGAGAGAGAGAGAGAGAGAGAGAATCTGAAGCAGGCTCCAAGCTATCAGCACAGAACCCCACTGCGGGGCTAAAACCCATGAACAGGAAGATCAGACCTGAGCCGAAGTCAGATGCTTAATGGACTGAGCCACCCAGGGGCTCCATCTTATTAACAGTTTCTAAGAGAAAATAATGTGTTGAAGAATGGCCACTTAGATCCTAAGACCAACATTTTTATGAAATGTGCTAGCCCTTCTAACACTGTAAATATACTTTTTGATTCTAAGAAGAATACTTCTTCATAATGACTTTAATCTTATAATTAAAAATTCCTTAAAAAGTTGTGGTAGAGAATATCAGAAGAAACTAAGTAGTTTTTAATAAATATTACCTTGTTTTCATGTACCACTTTCTGCTGTTAACTCTCCCTTCTCCAATTGAAGATTATTTTAGCAAAAAAGTTGTGAATACCCATTATGTACATTGTTCAAGGGTGAGGAAGCTACAGTTGGAATAAAACAAAACGCCTCCTTTTGTAAAGCTCATTGTCGATGAGGATGCCAACCAAAATTCTCCAGGTTGGATTACATGGGTAAAGCAGTGACATAGATGGGTTCTATTTTCTGACTTTGTTCCATCAGTATCCAAGAAACTCCATAAAATCTGATTGCCAATTACTGGTATTGCTGCTGCTAATAGCTCTGTTTCTCCTGGGTTTTATTTCCTGTGAGAATTGATAAAATATACAGGGAGAAAAGTAGAAAACCAGAAGGGAGCACTCCACTTAATTTAGAAACAATCTTTAAATGGGCAATAAAGAGAAGGTTTCATTAAGAGGAAGTTTTCAGGAGGTATTCGATGGTGGGGAAGGAACTGGAGGCCACAGGACAGAGCATAAGCAAAGGAGAATTTTACAGCCAGAGGGTGCGTGATGGAGGAAATAAAAATCCGGAAGGGAAACAGCCATCCAAAGCTGCAGCAAAGAAGAAAGCTCGAAAGAAAAGGAGAAGCAGGTGGAAAGCATTGAAGGACCTCAAACATTAGAAAACAACATTTTTAGTTGAAGCCATAAATAAGAGAAAGGAGAAACAATAGCCTCTAATGTTCTTTTGTCAGACCTGATGAGGTGCTTTCCATTCAAAAATAGCTATTATTCCTCAGTTGTTTACTAAGAGCAGCCATTGTTCTAAATTTAGAACTCTGAAGAGTCCTCTTGTGTAACCTCACAACAGTCCTACTAGGTCGGTACAATCACTGTGCCTTACAGCTCCATGTGGCAGGGCCAGGCTCCCTGCCTAGCCATTTGGGGCATAGTCCCTGCACACACTCATCCCCCACAGAGATATCAGGCACAGAGATATCAGGCTGCTGCTGAGACCACTGATGGCCACCAACACCATCATGTCCTTTTTTCCTGGGCACATGTCAAAACTACATTTCCCAGGCTCTTGCAGCATGGGCTGATTCTGAATGTGAGTGGCTGTGATGTGTCTGACTTCCCTAACAGGTCTAGAGCCATTCATGCTCTCTCTGTTCCTTCACCACGAATAAGATGCAGAGACCCCAGTGGAGAACTCTGAGGTCCTAGAAGATGGCGGGACCACTCCCTCGAGGTTCACATGGTAGGCTCATGAGTGGTACAAGAACTCAGAAGGAATGAGATTAATGGACTATGATCATTGCCTACTCTTCTGTTTTCCTGCCTGAAGATCTTTGAAACTTCCTTCTACCTTTGCCTCTGCCATCGGGGTAGGGGGAAAGCTCAGGGGCGCAGAACCAAGGTTTTTTGGAAAGACTGACATCTTGTAAGCCTATATGCATAAATCTCTGGACAGGTAGGACTGAAAGGTTCTCTGAAGGTGAATAGAAATTATTTCATCTAAAACAAGGGCAAATTTGGACTCTGTTTTTGGACTTGGAGGCTTGGCTCTTAGTCAAATATTGCAGTTATTTAGGTTGACATATCCCCCATCTATTAAAAAAAAAAAAAGGCAAGCTTCCTGCAGAAGCAATGAACCAACTGGTATTCAGAGTGCCTTTCTGACATCACAGGTTACTTGGCTCTGTTTTAAAAGTCGAGTGCAGGGGCACCTGGGTGGCTCAGTCGGTTAAGCGTCCGACTTCGGCTCAGGTCATGATCTCGCGGTCTGTGAGTTCGAGCCCCGCGTCGGGCTCTGTGCTGACAGCTCAGAGCCTGGAGCCTGTTTCGGATTCTGTGTCTCCCTCTCCTTCTGACCTTCCCCCGTTCATGCTCTGTCTCTCTCTGTCTCAAAAATGAATAAATGTTAAAAAAAATTAAAAAATAAAAGTTGAGTGCATATCTGTTAGAGAAAAGTGTGGTTTATTTCAATATCTTCTATGAGCAGCTGTCAATATTGCAAAATCACAGAACTTTGGGACTGAAAGAGATTTTAAAGAAACTGAATTTTCCTCATTTGTGAAATGAGCATGTTGGACTAGAACATCTTTAAGTATCCTTCCAACTGTAAAAGTCCATGATTCTGTATATATGTTATATGTGTATGTACATACCCATATACACAAAAAAGAAGTCAGGACGCTTGGGTGGCTCAGTTGGTTGAGCGTCTGACTTTGGCTCAGGTCATGATCTCACCGTTCATGAGTTCAGACCCCACGTGGGGTTCTGTGCTGACAGCTTGGAGCCTGGAGCCTGCTTCGGATTATGTTTCCCTCTCTCTCTGCACCTCCCTGCTCACGCTCTCTATCTCTTGAAAATAAATAAACTTAAAAAAAATTTTTTTTAATTAAAAAAAAGAAGCCATAGAATTTTTTTAGCAAACATTCCAAAATGTATATGTGACTCATTTCTTTTCAGAAGTCAGTCTCAATAAACTGTGCACATGAAAGCAGTTTTAGTGTTGCCCACCACTCCGTACTAAGCAGAGACCATTTTTCCAGGTCCTAGATAAAATCTCAGGCAGGTCCCATAGAACCTGGGGCCTTTTCAGGCCCAAGAACAGTCTTTCATTTTAAAAGTGCAGAACAGTTTAACATCTCAACTCCAATATAATTCTCCTCTAAACTTGTAGCTTACATTGGCTTCAGGCTTGGAGCCTGCCATGATGTGTTGTTAGCTTCCTCTTTCCTTCTTTATCTACCTCTTCTCCAATTTCCTGGCACATGTGTTAGACCGCTCAGGGCCACCCTGTGGAGAGAGGGGCTGAGGGAGCAAAGATGCATCCTCAAGGCTGTGCTCTGGCCTCTGTCCTCCTCCTCCCTCCCTGGGGTGCTAGCTGTGGCATAGCTGCCTCTCTCCAGTGGGACTGCTTCTAGCTTATCTAACTTGGTCACTCTTGGTGAGAACAGCTCTCCTCTGGCCAGCAGCTTATGTCTTCCTACCAGCCCCATGATACTAACTGCCCACCATTCTTTTGGGGTCCCCTCTCTAGGAAGTTCTCTTGGGCAAGATCCATTTGTCTTAGTCTATTCAGACTGAGAAAGTGTAAGAAATAGAAGCCACCCAGTCTATGATACTTGGTATAGCAGCCCAAGTGGACTAAGGCAGCACCTTTCCTGCCCAGTCACATGAAAATGCTACAATTTCTTCTCTGTGAAGATGAAATGGAATAATTTAATCCAGGAATGTCTGGCTCTTCCTGTTAGGTCTTTGCAAACTGATAACAAATGTGGGCAGAGTCTCTGGAGATGGCAATGCCAAATGTCAGATACATAAGTTGCAATATTATTTATAGCCTCTGCCAGATATGCTCAAAATGTCAGACATATAAACATTTGTTTGCTCTAGGAAATCATCAAAAATTCCACTAACTCAGAAATAGTGACTTTGTTGTGCCCTACAGTGACCTCCTTTTCCTCATATTAGCAATTAATTGCTAATATTAGCCATTAATATCAACATATATTAACAATTGCATTTCTTTTTTTTTTTAATTTTTTTTCATCGTTTTTTATTTATTTTTGGGACAGAGAGAGACAGAGCATGAACGGGGGAGGGGCAGAGAGAGAGGGAGACACAGAATCGGAAACAGGCTCCAGGCTCTGAGCCATCAGCCCAGAGCCCGACGCGGGGCTCGAACTCACGGACCGCGAGATCGTGACCTGGCTGAAGTCGGACGCTTAACCGACTGCGCCACCCAGGCGCCCCAACAATTGCATTTCTATAAGCAAACCAAAAGATGGCTTTAGTTTGTCAATTATTTAATTATGGGAAATAGAGATGATAAACATGTGGTCCAGTTCAACCAGTTGGAAAACAATCCCTGAACAAGTAAGTATGTTTTTAAGTGGTGATGATTTGACCTTAAACATTTTTAGGCTTCTAATGAATGGTTAGATGCATATGGTCAAAATATATCATGGATAACTAAGAAACCTACCCCCTGAAGTCAGTGTTGCTTAAGGCCAATGATTAGTTCTTTGGGCTTTTATACAGCAGCCCCTACAAGAATGATCTCAGTTTTAATCACCACTGAAACAAAAGAAAAATGAAAGTGACTTTATTTAAATACCATTTCAATGGAATAAATAAGGAAGTGGTCTGGCTTTTTTTTCCCCTGCTCTTGGAAAATAGCATGACACACAGTGAGTGCTCAATGAATATTATTCTTGATGACGAAAGGAATGTGAGGACAATAATGTTAGTGTGCTCAGAACAGGCCATGTCACTGAACCACTCTTGCCCACAAACATTGGTTGGAATTACTGTCATTTATTCAACAAGTATTTATGCCAGCACTGTGTAGGACGCTGGAAATTGTGTAAGTTGACCAGAGATGGTCTTGCCCTCAAGGTGCTTATAACTACCAGGGAAACAGGCAAGGAGAAGGCACTGACTACAGTGTATTAAGACTTTTGAGGGAGGTATTCTATTGGCTCTAGAGGCACCTAAAAATCAGAAAAGGCTTTAATGCAGGATTCATATCTCTAACCTGGGATCTAATTATGAGCTAGAGTTGGCCAGGAACAGGAGAAGGAAAGAGTTCATGGAACTGCACAGACAGAACACTGCAATAGTTTAGTATGATGGGGTCGTAGTAAGGATGATCAGAGACAAGAGAAGCAAGCAGGGAACTCAAGATCAAAGTCCTTGAAGGCCATGTGGAAAAATTTGGACCTTGTCTTAAGGGCAGTGAGGCACAAGCAAAGGAGTGTTAAGTGGGGAAAAGTAGTTGTTTGCTCTGATGTGAATGCTTAGAAAGAGCACTGGCTGCAATGAGAAGAATGGAAAGAAAGAGACAAAGATGGAGGCAGGGAGTAGTTAGGAAACTGTTGGATTCACCAGCTGAGAGGTAAAATAACTTGAACTAAATGTTGGAACAATTGAAATAGAAAGGAATCGATTTGAAATAAAAGTAATAAGTAGAAGTAAAAGTCATAGGCCTTACTGACTGGATGTGGGGAATGTGGCAGAGAAGGGCTGGGGATGCCATCAGGGTTTTGACTAGGGCAACTACAGGGATGGCAATGCCATTCATTGAGAAAGAAAATACAGTAGGAGAGTGGGCTTGGGATGGAGATGTGATCTTGATTTAGGATGTCCCCATTCTAGCCTGGGTGGCTCAGTT